TTTGCTAGAGCTACAAGGTAATGAAACTTGTACTCTCACTTCATGAATATCCACTTTACGTGGTGTTTCACTCCCACCAACTTCACCATTCTCAATGAACCTTGCATTTTCAGATTCAATAATCCTTGTAGTATGATAAGGACAGTAAAATCTATACCCATTCGATTCTTCTGGATAACCAATGAAATAACCACTGATTGTCCTTGCATCCAGTTTCTTTTCTTGCGGATTGTAGTATCTAATCTCTGCCTGACAACCCCAAACATGCAGGTGTCTTATACTAGGTTTTCTTCCTGTCCAAAGTTCAAAAGGAGTCTTTGGAACTGACTTACTAGGAACCCTATTCAATACATACATGGCAGTTTTTAGAGCATAAGTCCACAATGAAACAGGTAAAGAAGAATTACTTAACATACTCCTAACCATATCCAGTAAGGTCCTATTATGCCTTTCTGATACACCATTCTGTTGCGGTGTACCGGGCATTCTGTATTGAGCACAAATACCACGCTTTTCCAGAAATTTAGCAAATGGGCCCGGATGTTGTCCACTTTCATCATACCTTCCATAATATTCACCACCCCTATCAGACCTGACAATCTTTACCTTTCTGTCTAATTTCCTTTTAACTTCATTAATATAAATCTCCAAAGCATTTGCAGCTCGAGACTTATCATGCAGCAAATAGACATAACCATAACGTGAATAATCATCAATGAAAGTGATAAAATATTTTTCTTTATTGAAGGCATTAACATCAAACGGACCACACACATCAGTGTGTATAATTTCAAGAAGCTGAGTGCTCCTTGTGGCTCCTTTCTTTGTGTGTTTTGTTTGTTTTCCTTTAATACAATCCACACAAACATTTAAATCAGTAAAGTCTAAATCCGGAAGGATTTCATTATTTACCAATCTTTTCATCCTTTCTTTGGAAATGTGTCCCAAACGTTTGTGCCACAAGTAAGCGGAACACTCATTAATTAAGGCACGTTTAGTACCAACATTATGATGCAGAGTCATAAGCGTTTCAGCATAAAGATTATCAAGACATAATTATATAATCCACACATAAAATACCATTACCAATCAAATGATTGTGCTTGTACAAACTGAAACTACCGCTACCAAATTTAAAAGAGTAACCAGCAACATCAAGTTTGGAGATTGAAACTAAATTCCTAGATATACTAGGTACATAAAGAGTTTCACATAAATCCAAATGAAATCCACTGTCGAGAATCAAACGATATGTCCCAACAGCTTCCACCAGAACTTTCACTCTATTGCCTATAAGGACAAACTTTTCATTTGACTTTGTGGTTTGGGTCATAAGGGATCCCTGCATTGTATTAGAAACATGAGTAGTACAACCAGAATCAATCCACCAAGTATTATAAGGAACTTCAGCCAGGTTTGATTCATAACATACATAAGCACTAGGCTTACCTTTCTTTTCGAACCAAGCCTTACGTTTCAGACAATCCTTTTTGAAATGCCCTTTCTTTTTACAGAAATGACACCTCATCTTTGCATTACTTCCCTTTTTGTGGATTTTAGAAGAAGAGGCCTCATTAACTTTAAGGAGTCCTCCTCCTCCCCCTTTCTTCTCATGCTTCTTACCTTTATTCTTTTCAGCTCCTTGATGCTTTACATAATTGATGGAATGAGCTCCCTGATTCTTAAGTCTGGTTTCCTTCTGAACTAGCATACTGTGCAATTCATGCACATTCCATTTATCTTTCATGGTGTTATAGTTCATTTGGAAAGGACCATACTCAGACGGTAATGAGTTCAATACGAACTGCACTAGGAAGTTCTCATCCACAGTCATTCCCAATGCTTTCAATTTTGCCGCAATGCTTGTCATTTCAATAATATGTTCATGCATAGTACGCGAACCATCAAACTTCATGGTGGTTAGTGTACTCATAAGTGTCCCAGCAAGAGACTTATCAGCTGTTTGGGAGCGTTTTCCCACAAGTTTCATCATTCCGATGACACTTTCAGTTTGTGGAAGAGCTGACTTAATGTTGCTTGCAATGCTCATTTTCATGTACATCAGACTTAATCTGTTGGATCTTTCCCAGTTCTTAAAATGGTCCCTTTCATCCTCAGTGCTTTCAGGAGTAATAGCACCAGGTTCCTCTTCTCTAAGAGCCAAATCCATATCCATTACCCCAAGGTAAAAATTGATTTGCTCTTTCCATTCAGAGAAGTTCAGCCCATTAAAAACTGTAACAGTTGAGAACATGGAATGTGTAGCAACAGGTACTGCAAGGAGTAACATTTAAAACATTAATGCTTTGAGTCATACATGTAACATACTAACATACTTCACAGATTCAAATATTCTAACTTCAATGCATATCAATGTTCACCTTTGGGGATCCATTAACATACAACTTTAACTATAATGATGCTATAAAAATTTCACATAATTTGGCAATGATGCATACCCCTATCATAAATATTTGTCATCTTTGGATGTCCAAATGCAAAGAAATATGTCAACAATACCAACATCCATGTTCATTTTATAAAACAAATAATCAACCTTTGGGTTGATCCCTAACTGTCCTATAATAATGAACTTCAATATACCACAACATGAATAATTATATCATACTATTCACAGCATCACAGTCATGGTAATTGGAATAAAATTCATAATATTTGAAATTAAAATAACTCTTCAAGATTTGGCCACTTTGGTAAGTAACAAATCTACTATAATTAATTCCAAAACTTTGTCCAACTTTCATGTATATCAATGTCCTTTTCATGTTTTCCCAATAATTTATAAAATGGAATAAACATTTGACAATGACACACTCTTCCAGTACAAAGACCAGAGAAATAGCGCAGGTTAGCGCCATTCCCGCGCAGTTCTGCACAATAAACCGGTACAATCACCAGTGAAGTGGCGCGGATCAGCGCCAATTTGCTGCGATCCCACGTCATAACGCAGAAATTTCTTAACGTTTCCAACATCTTTTATAAGAAACACAAAAACCGAGAAACTTAATGCTTTTCAAGATGCACGGCTAATTGATTTCAAAGGCTTTGTCCATTAATCACGAAAACCGAGAAGCAAACTCAAATACCAAAAGTACCAACTTCAAACATCTAGATCCTTTTATCTCAATGTTGATCGTAAATCTTATAATTGGCAAAACCAAAAATGTACAGTGCATAAAGCCAAATGGCTATTGCCTAATACGTGAATGACGTTGTCCAATTTGCATTAAGTATGACTTTGTCTAATACGTGAATTCCATTAATGGCTTTCGTGAGTTTTCCAATAATAATCGTGAATTTTATTTTTAAAACCCTAACTTTTCATGAATCAGAAATTCATTCATAATTATTTATGGAAAAAACACAAATTCTTAAACACATGCTCTGATACCACATGTTAGCGTTCATCAGTAATTCATTCAAGAACATGACAGAGGATCTTCAGAATTTATGAGTTTCACATAAATATACCTTTGTCCATAATTGCGGAAGAACTTTGATGGTGAAATCCTTTCTCAGAGTCTTAACTCTTCTTGTATCTTCTTTAAGAGGGATTGGATACAACTCTTCTGGGTAGACAATGATGGAGAGCGTTTCTGTAAACCACCTTTTATCAGAAAACCTCCTTTCTCTGAACGTAACTGAACCTGTCACCAGTTACTTCTTTATAAAATTTCCCTTAATAGTCAAAATTACCATAATGCCCTTTAATTAATTAAATCAACTGACACTTAATATTATACAAGACAAATAATTTTACAATGTCCAACTTCTTAGACTCGAACCAAGTGACACGGTACGAAGTAAGAGACATCAACTACTATGTCAATTTCTCATTTGAGATATATTATCACTATTATAATATTTTTATTTTACTATGTATTTTTCTATAAATTCAAATCAAACGATTCAACCAGTGACCTATTACTGACCTAGTATTCTAACCCGATCAATGACATAACATTAAATTAAAGACTTGTACAAATATAAAGATAGCGGCTACCCATCTTAACTCTTTCCTCCTTCCACCATGAGAAATAGGTACTTTTTTTTATAAAAAGATAGAAAATAAAATAAAATGCATATAACATTAATTATAAAAGAATGGATAAAATGAGTATAAATCAAATAATTTTTTTTCCAATTATAATAAATGATATTGCATCTCCAATGTATGGAAATACCAAAGATATTTTCCAATACTAAGAAATTGAGCTACAACTAATTATCTTCTTTTATATATATATAATATTTTTTTTTAAATTTTAAAAATATTTTTTATTAATTGATTATTTAACTAATTCGATTCAAATTGAAAATATTGTTCTTATTTTTTAACCCATTGTATGTCAAAACTTGAACTTGGTGATTAAGTTGAATAACCCTACAATTTAAAATTTAATTTTTCTATGCGGTAGAATTTTTTTCTTGCCATATTTATATAAAATTAAATAAATCACAGGAGGAATAAGATCCACTAACTTTTATAAATGTCAGCGTGACAAAAAAATTTTGTCTAAAAAAGAGTTTTATTAGTCTCGTTTCAGTTGTAGAGATAAAATATGAAGGTCTCACAATTACAAAAATATATATATATATATATATATATATATATATATATATAGGGAAATATTACTCTCCTTTTACATGGGGTAACTTATCTCATTTTCTCTCACTTCGATTTTCGCACCTCACTTTTTTTTTCTTTTTCTTTTTTCTTGTAATTGTGGGACCCACCCAGTTTCTCTCTACAACATAAGATACCCATCTTATGCAAAAGAAGATTAATAAAACCCATATATATATGAGATACGAAAATAGACATGAGAAAACATGAGAGATGAAAGACGAGTAATATTTTTCTCTAAAAAACAATAAACTTTTCAATTTTTCCAAAGGTTGTAAAACTATTTTTTAAACCGTGAATCAAACAACTTTCGGAGCTCCAATAGGATTGGGACCACGTGGTGTTTTTACAACTACTCAAACCAACAGCTCTGTAGCTACGCTTCTCAAAGTTTAAGCAGATAAGCTAAGGTTGTGTTTTCACTTTTCCCAGCCATGGCCGAAGCTTCAAGAATCACTTACACTACTCTCATTCCTGGTTTTAGCTCAACAACTCAGAGAACTCATGTGGGTCTGGGTCACCTTAAGCTAACTGTGTCACGCAAGTACCAAATTCATTGTTCAGTTTCTGCTAATGCAAGTGCAAGTGGTGCCACTCAAACCTCAGTGATGGAAACCATTCCTTGGGGGTGTGAGATTGATTCATTAGAAAATGCATCAGCTTTGCAGAGATGGTTGTCAGAGTCAGGGCTTCCACCACAGAAGATGGCCATAGAAAAAGTGGATGTGGGTGAGAGAGGACTTGTTGCTTTGACCAATATCAGAAAAGGGGAGAAGCTTCTCTTTGTGCCTCCCAAATTAGTCATAACTGCTGATTCTGTAAGCCTTTTTTCCTTCTTCCTTTGCCTCATATTAGTTCAATATATATGTGTTAATCGGATGTCAAGTTGTCCGGTGGCCAATAATAATCATATAAAAAGATGAATAAATGACGATAAAGGAAGAAAGAAAAATATAATATTCATTTCCAAATAAGTAAATAAGGAAAAAAAAGGACGTAATTTTGGGCGGGTAAAAGGACGGTGAAATGACATGACAAATAATTAATCATAGATATATATATATATATATAAAGGGTTCACTTTTTCTACATTTACTGCAGATAATTATCTGCAGTAAGTCAATACGATGTTGTTTTAGGACGGAAATCATGATGTTTTTGTAATTTTAATTTATTTTCGGGTTATAATAGTCTTTATATTTATAAATTTTTAAGATTTCAATACCAAAACGACGTCGTTTTGGGAATAAATGCAGATAACTTCTCTGCATTAACTGCGGAAACATTTTTTCCTATATATATATATAGAGAAAAGTATTTCTCCAGTTACCGGAAATAAAATTATCTCCAGTGAGAACGACGTCGTTTTGGGATTATAAGATTAAAAAATTATAATGATAAAGACTAATATAACCCTGCAATATATTATAATTACAAAAACACCTTGGTTTCCACCTCAAAACGAGTTCACTATAGATAACTTTATCTTCGGTGACTGGAGAAATCCTTTACCCATATATATATATATATATATGTATATGTACATGTATATGTATGGCATGATCAATTTGTGCTTGAAATATATTAGTAGACAACTATGCGGGTTTCCCCAGTCACCAACATTTTAGTTTGTTCAATCCAAGAAAGTTTCCTTATGAATTGGTATGCATAAGAAATTAGCAGAATACTCATAAATTATTGGTGGACTATATTGTCAGTGTTTAGAGCGTTACTTTATTTACTTTATTCAATAAAAAAAAACCACCCTGCACGAAACACCAAGGGTAGACTTGCTACGGTAGGAGAAGGGAAATATTATATACAGCATTTTTGCAAAGAGGTTGTATCCAACTGTTTTACCACTTCTCCAAGCTCGCCCGCAGAAGAAACCAGCACACTTGGTTGATCTTTCAGTATGTGAATTTGGTTCATTATGTGAATCTGGGTGAGGTATTTACTTATGCTTTTGTGTCTGTATTTTGGTTGTCAGGAATGGAGCTGCCGAGAAGCTGGTGAAGTATTGAAAAGGAATTCAGTGCCAGATTGGCCATTGCTCGCAACTTACCTCATAAGTGAAGCTAGCCTCATGAAATCTTCAAAATGGAGCAATTATATATCAGCCTTACCTCGACAACCTTACTCACTTCTTTACTGGTATATGAATTGTTCTTATGATGGAATCTTTTGAGAGAGAAATGAATATTGATGAGTGTGGACTCAAGTTAGGGGTTGAAATGCTATATTACTTTGCTAAGGAGAATATTTGAGAAATGGAAATGAGGAGACTGTTTTACAATAATTTCTCCAATATCAGCAGCCTATTCGGAAATGGAGTGAAAGGGAATACAAGATTAGAACATGTCATGCAGTTAATATTTATAGTACATTACAAGCATTCTAAATGTATCATTTCAATAAAAATTTGTAGGTGGTTTATACTTTATTATTTTCATTCCCCTCACTTATATCTATACAAAGAGAAGCATTTTCCTTTGTTTTCTGATTTCTCAATTTCATTCACTTTATTTTCTTCCAGTCCTAATTTTTATCTCAAACAAAATATTATACTTTTCATCTTATTTCCATAAATAACAGAGTCTACTGTCAAAATTTTCCCGATATAGTTTATCAAACCCCAACTAGTTTAGGATAGGCAATGTTGATGACGTTGATCGTTCATTTATGTCATTTCAGGTCACGAGCAGAACTAGATCGCTACTTGGAAGCTTCTCAGATTAGGGAGAGAGCAATTGAGAGGATTAATAATGTTATTGGAACGTATGGACCAATTCTTTGTAACCTATATTTCTTCAGGGATTTATTGTCTGTTCATACCTCTTTTTGGTATATAGCTTCAATCTAATATGCTTTTTTGATCCTGTGTCTTAACGTACATCACATTTCTTCCCCAGATACAATGATTTGAGGCTCAGAATATTTTCCAAATACCCTGATTTATTTCCTGAAGAGGTAATTATCTCACAAGGAACACAGGATGAGAGTAAATAGTTAATGTAAACCACAGACTTATACAGAAAGAAAATAGGGAGTTGCCAGAGATAATTGCTTTGTTGGAATTTTCGGTTGATTGGAAGTAGTGGTTAATGTCCTTTTGTTACTTACTTGGTTAGTAATTTCTAAATTTGGTTCTTCATGTTTATGCTGGTGATCATTGGTTTCAATACGTAGCAATGGCATAGCTTGGAAAATTCCAAACTGAACATTATATGTCATTTTCATGATTGAATATTTGCAGTGAGATATTAGTGTATTCTAAGCATTTTGTTTCAGTAGATAATTGTGATCTGAATCTGTTATGTGCATAACTTGCAGGTGTTCAACATAGAGTCCTTCAAATGGTCGTTTGGCATTCTTTTCTCCCGCTTGGTGAGTTAACCTGGTAGATATAACAAAATTACATTCCATTGTCTGCCTCTTCTGCTGTAAAGAACCAATTCAACCCAAAAGCTTAAGCTGTTGGGTGAGAGTACATTAATGGTTTTATATATCTCAACACGCCCCCTCACACGAGAGCCCACTGGGCTTGAAGGGTGGACAATGCACTGGCCCACCTACCTGTGCGAACAAAGAAATTCCACTTGAAAGAAAGTGGGGGGCGGCGAGGATCGAACCCGGGACACGAGGCTCTGATACCATGTAAAGAACCAATTCAACCCAAAAGTTTAAGCTGTTGGGTGAGGGTACATTAATGGTTTTATATATCTCAACATCTGCACAACTCAAGTCTGGCTACTGAGAACTTTCGTGTTTTCTATATAACTCCTGTGCACAGACTTATATGCCATATGAATTCATATTAGATCTATTTTTCAAAGAGAGTTGAGGTCTGATTGGCCTTTGAAAAATGGATCCAAGTTGAAAACAGAATTGAGGATTCAGATAGAGGAGAGAGAAATGAATAAGTGTCTTGGAGGGGTCTGCTATATATAGGTGGACCATGAGGTAGGGGGAAGCAGGCATGATTGAGCATTTGGTGAGTGGGGAATTGAGATCTCTTTGGGGCCTAGGTTTGTTGGTCTTGGAGAGTGAGCAATTGGGTCATCTTCCTTAGTGTTTAGCTTGTTATTTTCTGCATATTTCACTGTTAGAGTGTCTTGTGATAGTTAATATCACAAGTTTCTTTCTTAGTTGTGTCTGTAATTTAAGGAGATGTCTCCATTTTCAGTTTAATTCAATATCAAATACTGGTACCATCAGGGTCCAACCCTAAATAACAAATGCTGAAATGTGTTAGGTCTGAAACATTTCAATACTAACATAACTTTCTTATTTTTCTGTCTTCTTTATCTATAGCTTTTCAATCAATTAATTCAATGAGACTAGGTTTTGTTGTTTCATATTTAAGACAAGTGGTTGTTTGTCAGAACATATAATTCATGATCTTTGTACAATACAGGTTCGGTTACCCTCAATGAATGGAAAGGTTGCCTTGGTTCCTTGGGCAGATATGCTGAATCATAGTTGTGATGTATGGTCTCTTACAAACAAGATTCCCAACAAGTTTTTCTCATGGAAGTTTAATCTAATTTGTTTTCACTGATCTAGGTGGATACATTTTTGGACTATGATAAGCTGTCAAAGGGAATTGTCTTTACGACAGATCGGCCCTATCAACCAGGTGAGCAGGTAAACATAAATTGACAGACTGGAATTTGTTAAATTAGATTAAATTAGGAGAAACCAAATAAGTTCCTGAGAAATGAAATGCAAATTCCTTGTGCCTTGCCAAAGTGCATTATGGTATATTGATTGAACTGGATCAAATAACCAATTAACAGAGACATTCAAGAGGTCTTTTGGCCCAGAAAAGGATCTGAGTTTTCTATATATTTGAACAAAAAAAGAGGTTACAGAATTCAAATACAAGAACAGTAAACAACATCAAAAGAAGAAATGTTAAAGTTCAGCACATTAGAGAAGTGCTGATGCTCTCCCAAGTTCCCAATCCAATTCCATCCTAATCCTTTATTCATTTTCCCCTCCCCTGATATAATAATCATAACTAACTTTCTCAGTCACGTTTTTCTCTCCCACTAACAGAATTGCCCTCCACAATAACAGAATTTCCCGCCACATCACCCTTGAGAATATTCTATTCCTTGTCATTGGTCCCTTTGTCTGAGTCGGCATTAACTGATACTCCTCTGAGATGCTTCCTAGAATTCGTTTTTAGAGGTATTCTATCATATATACATGAGTAAAATGGTTATGTCTCTACAGTTTGCAATATTGCCTAAAAAATAATTAATTGATTGGAGCTGTGTTTGGTGGTGATATTCTTCACCATTTAGCTCACCTTGTAATCATTTGATTTAAATCCAGATATTGCAATTGATTGCTTGCATCAAATTGCACAGGTGTTTATTTCATATGGAAAAAAATCCAATGGGGAGCTTCTGTTATCTTACGGATTTGTTCCAAGGGAAGGTGATAATCCTAGAGATTCAGTTGAGTTGTCACTATCACTCAAGAAATCTGATGGGTCCTATCTGGAGAAGTTAGAACTGTTGAAGAAGTATGGATTATCAGGGTGAGTACCTATACTTTTATAGTTTTGCCTATATATATAAGGATGAAGTTCTCTGTCTTCTGTTCTGGTAAAAATACTTTGAGAACATTCCTAGTTTATACCTTCGTTGAAGTTATATCCAAGCATTCAATGAAACCTTCGTGTCAATTGACATTTTTAAATGTATATGATAGTTTTACCCAGGACTCTCAGACATTTCCAAAATACAATTTTCCAAGCTGTGGAATATATCATAATATTTGTATTCATTTCTTTTTAGCTTGTAAGGTACTGTGTCAAAGTGTCCATGCTTCAAAATAATTGTTAGTGATATTAATATAAAACTATAAATGTGGTCTCACTTACTAGCTTAAGTTGTTGGGTTGAATTGGTTGCATCATGGTATCAGAGTTTGTAACTAAGTGGTCATGAGTTCGAATTTCACTGCCCTCGATTTTTAACAAAATTAAAAAATATAAGTTAAAATCAACACAAGGTATGAGCCCGTGCATTATCGACACTTCAAGCTCAAGAGCTCTTCCGTGAGAGAGTGCTAGAAATATTAATATAAAACTATTAGTGTGGTCTCACTTACCAGTTTAAGTTATTGGGCTGAAATGGTTCTTTACAATAATTAGATTTACTCATGACTTTTTTGTGTAACTATTTTTGTCCAAAATTTTGTTATTAACTGATATCGCTGCCATTATCATCAGGCAGAAAACATTATAATTGAGATATCACTCTGATATATACTTTTAATTGAGCTTGTTACTAATTTCTTTGTTCTATTTTCATCAGATCTCAGTGTTTTCCTATACAGATTACTGGTTGGCCATTGGAGTTAATGGCTTATGCTTATTTAGCTGTTAGTCCTTCAAGCATGAGAGGGCAATATGAAGAGGTCTGACACTCACTATCTTTGTGAATTATTCTTTGGATATTCTATAACCCTGTGGATGATTCTTTTAACAGATGGCTGCTGCAGCTTCGAATAAAATTTCCTCCAAGAAGGATTTGAGATATCCTGAAATAGAGGAGCAAGCATTGCAATTCATACTAGATAGCTGTGAATCCAGTATATCAAAATACAACAAGTTCTTACAGGCAAGGAAACACTTTAATAAGAAACCTTTATGTCTTTCAATTTTAATTTTATAATGGCCATAGTTTTGAAAAACTAAGATTTATCAAGTTTGTCAGTTCTAATGAGTTAATCCTTGCCATTTCCCTTTTACTTGCATGGTAATCCCAATTATCATAAATGAAATGTGTATATGTTTCTGGCAGGTAAGTGGATCACTGGATTTGGACGTGACTTCTCCAAAACAACTCAACCGAAGACTCTTTCTGAAACAGCTAGCTGTGGACTTGTGTACTAGTGAGCGAAGGATATTATTTCGTTCTCAATACGTAAGATTATAGAACACATTATTTAATTTTAATGGACAAGCAAAGATCATTCCCTAGCACTAATCTTGATTCCATAATGTGGCTGTTTGTTTAAAGTAAGCATAGATCTTGGTCGTAGCTTTTTTGTTAAATTGCTTTTAAATGTTGGAAATGAAGTTAAAGTGTGAATGGGAAGTCCTATATTTGTTAGAAATAGATTAACTGAGGACCATATAAGTGAAAAAGATGATAAAATCATTATTTTGAAGTTTTGGATGGTGGTGTCGCCCATTTATTGTGATTTGATATTTGATTCATTGGTGTGAAAGTATCTGTTAGAGAGCCAAAGAAGATAAGGGTGTATTGTAGGGAGAGTTATAAGAGATCTTTAGCTCCACTACCACTTGCTGAGTCTGCAGCACATATTCACCATTCAGTTATGATGGGAAGCTTCTTTAGCTATACAATTCTGTTGCATAAAAGGGATCATGGAAAAGCATTAACCATCTTTGGGACTGGGACTTAAGGCATTTGGGAGAGACTAGGAGCTCTCAAATTCTCTTGGAATAACTTCTTCTTTTTCTTGTTATTTTACAGTTTCTTCTTCGTATCTGTTGCTGAAATTTTGCTTTGTTTTACTGTTTTGAGTTGTATTCCAGTTGAATCAACTATTATCAATATAATTTTTCGTGTCTTCTTCTGTATCCTATAATTCTGGTTGGACCTTATCAGTATCCCTTGCAAGGGTTTTGGTCCTTTTGGACTCCCCTGTACCATTTATAACACTAACTTCTTTCTCAAACCACTTACAACTTGTTTGGTGTACAAACTTCTGTTCTTCACTTTCCAAATAAACATGAAAAGCAATCCATCAGCACAAGTAATTCCATTCCCATTAATTGTGTTGCTTCTTGTGATCATTGTACAACAGGATACTGGCCTAGCAGTGAATTAGTATTATAACAATGATTGGTACATGCAACTCGAAATTAGTATTATAGCAGTGTATGTTTGTATTGGTCCCAGAAAATGAAGAAATGAAATAAATGATCAAATAATGCTAAAAAGGAAAATAACAAGCCCCCAAAGTAGGTTGATGGTTTCTTTTGTTCTTTTACACAACAAAAATAGCTTACGATATGATGTCTGTTTATCATATTACTAGTGCTGATTAATTTTTTAATAATAATTGCAGATACTGCGAAGAAGATTGAGGGATATGAGAGCTGGAGAATTAAGAGCTCTAAAAATCTTTGATGGGTTCCGGAATCTTTTCCAATGAGGCCATTTCATGGTGCATTGGTTTGCCTTGGTTGTTCTAAGAAAATCGATCTCACCCTTTAACATGATGAACTTTGTTCAGTTCATACATGGCCAGGTTCATTTGTATCATATAATTGATAGTTGTTGCTGATGGAAATAGGTCCAGTCTTAAGTGATGAAATATTATAATCCATATTGAAAAAAAGCAAGAAAAAGAGAGAGAATAGAGAAAGGAAGGAATGATTGCGACATAGGCTTGCTATGTATTTATTGATCCAAACAATTTCTTTTCTTTTCCTATGTTTAAACTTTCATGATGAAAAATCATATTTGGATTTTCTTGTGTAATTTTTCTTATAACGATTGGAGTCAGTGCTCTCGTAATAGAGTGTCTGAGTATCTCTCTCCTCACACGACATTGTTGGGTATTTTTATTTTAAAGATATTTTAATCGGTTCATTATTTCGCGATTAGTATGATTCGAGACAAATTCTGGGATTAAGGCTTTAAACTCTGACGATATTAGGAATGATCGAACATATACTCTCATCTCTACCTGCTCAGTTCTCCGATGTCAATTGAATTACTATCATTTGATTATTGTTTGGTAAAATGTAACATGAGATTTTTAGCAGCACATGGCAGCCGAGAATTATTATCAAGGATTCAAGTTATACCAATCTCAATAAATACGTCGATACTACATCATTGACCCAAAATCTTAAAAAGCTTTAGGTCATAAATTATTTCACGTATATAGATTTTATTTAGTCTTATTTTCAACTAATATGGGTTTCCATTACTGATTATGATCAAAGTGAGGGAATCGAGGTGATTTACATTACTCTCAACTTCTCAAGGTAAGTCATTTTATCAAAAAAAAAAAAAAAGAATTATGAGAAGAGAATTTTAGAATGAGACGAGTTACTGTCTAAAAAAGAGTAGTGCAAGATATTAATTTAATGTATATGTATGAATGAAAGATTGATTTTGATTCATATTGGTATCAATTAGTCTCTAATACTTATATTCACTATTATGTGTTAGATTATAGTACATTAATTTAGAGTAATTTAACCTCCAATAAGTTGTTTTTTTTCTCAAAATAAAAATACTTTTTATTTCCTGAACCGGTTTCTGAAAATTTATATAAAATGATTTAAGGGGGTGTATTGGATTAGGATTTTAAAAGACTTTTTTTAGATAAAAATCTTAGAGATTTTAAAAGACTATGTAATTGGAGGGACTTTTAAGATTTTTTTAAAAGAATTTTTTTACGGGAAAAAATATTTTTCCGGCAACTTGAGATAAGTTTATCTCCCGCTATCCCAAAATTACGTCGTTTTATTTATTTATTTTTTTATATTAATTGATTCACCTTCGAATGGTTATTATTCTCTTTTTCTCTCTCTTCCTTTATCACCATCGATCCATCTTTGTACGGTTATGATTTAGTAGTCGGAGATAAAATTATCTCAAGCAGCTTGAGAAACGATAAGCCTATTTTTACAATCAAAATTTCATAAGATTGGATTTTAAAGAATTTTAATAGAATTTATAAGATATGAAAAGACAATATGGATTTATAAGATTTTAAAAACTATATGAATTTTTAGCAAATATTCAAAATTACAAGAGTCAATAAAAAAATAACAAAGAAATGCAATGATATCAATAAAAAAAGTAAAGCGTAATATAATTTTCTTAATCAGTAAAATATAATATAATTTTTAACAAACATTCAAAATTTCTAAGTAACAATTCTCCACATATCTAAAGTTATACTAGTCTCTACGCATTAAAATTTTCTCATTCATGCTCTTGGGTTTGACCAATGGGCTGAAAATTATTTTCTTCATTTGGCATCAAAGCTATGCATATATAATTATAAAACTCACTTTTTTTATTTATTAAAATAATTCTAAACTTACATATAGAACCTAAAGTTCATGATAAAATTTCGTTTGAAATTTTTTGTAATTGATCTTGGAAACTTTGGGATTTTTGTTCTACGTGATGAGAGTTTTTTAACCGTATATCATACACATATTTTCATTGAGTATTGTAAGAAAATTTCGAATATGAATTTTTGGACTTTATTTCATGAAAGTTCAGAAAATTTCTTAAATTATTTTCAATTGATACATTGAAATCTTAAATTGCTTTAGGGCTTTTGAAAAATAAGTTTTTAGTTATCTATTGATACAAAAATTGTTTGAAATTGTTCCTATAGCGAAGGAATTTCGTTCATGAATATATTGTTATGAAATATAGGGTTCATATTATGAAAGTTTCAATCTTTCTATAAATTGATATTGTTTCATTGGTGTAAAACGAAAATTGGTTTGAGCGTTTTAATTCTTCTGTTATTTTTCCACTATTTTATGTTGTTTTCAATACAAAAATACACATTTTTTGTGCCAGGGAAAATCGCGTCTCATAGCTTGAAAAATTATTTTTTAAACTTTTAAAAGCTCCCAAAAATTTAAAATATCTGCCGTTATTGAGATTGATTATATTAGAATCTTGTCGGTATGTTATTTTCGGGTTGTTTTATGAAGAAAATCGATAAAAAAATCTATTGTTTTTTAGCTTTGACGAAGCTCCCATGGTGAAACTTGGTTTCGAACGGATTAACCAGCCAAAGGAAGAAAAAGACATTGTATTATAGAAATCTCAAGAAATCTTAGGAGTTAGGGTGAGATTGTGAGAAAGCATCTATTTATATTTTTTACTAAAAAGTCTCATGAAATCCACACAAATAGAAAATCTATTAAAATCGTCATATTTTTGAATATTTCAATATTTTTTTTCCTTTCTTTAAAATCCTGATTAAATACCGACGTATTTGAACGGACTCTAAAATAATCTTTTAAAATCCTAATCGAATACCACGTGACCTTTTTCAATCTTTTAAAATCCTAATTGAATACCAATGGATATTTTTGTCAAAAAATAATCCATTAAAATCATTTGAAATTCCAATTCAATACATTCCCTAAATTTGCAGTCCCTAGTGATTCAAATTCATGTGCAAATTAATGGACATTGCGACACTTACCATCAAGGAAGCACAGACACTTGTAAAACAGGGAGAGTCGTGTCCGACACGCTCCGACACGGCGACACGCTTCGACACGGTGTCGGACACGCGGTCCACTTTTTCTGACACGTTGACCATTCCGACACACGAATTTGACCATGTCCGACACGGTTAAAATATATTAATAAAGCTTGCACCTGATCATATCAATTTTATTTATTTGTCTTTTTTTCCCTTAAGTAGATAAGAGATCATCTCAGCATCATTGTTGTCAATTCCTATCATGCTCTTGTTGTATCTCCTTCTCTTTGATCTCTCTCTAATATGATTTGATCTCTCTATATGATATTATATCTCTTTCTCATTCCAGTTCTTATTTTTTTTATTAAAGCTTCCATCTTTATAACGTGTTGATGGGTATTATTAATTTTGTTTCATTTTTTTGTTAAATTATTAAATATTAAATGAAATATACACTATATAAATTAAAAATATTATTTAATATTAAAACGTGTCACAACATGTCGAAATCCATAATTTTTTAATATTGACGTGTCGGAGTGTCGTGTCGTGTCACATGTCGCGTGTCGTATCGGTGCTACATAGCTTACCATTAGGTTAAAATTAATTTTTGGTAAAAATGCATTTTCTAATATATTTATTATATAATTAATATATATTCAATTTAACCAATTGAACCAATAAACCAATGATTGACACCACTAATGTTGCACCGACATTAACACGGAACACGAGACACGACACGTCACTCTGACATGTTAATCTAAAAAATGTTAGATTTTGACACGTTCGGACACGTTTTGATATTAAATAATATTTTTAATTTATGTAGTATATATTATATTTAATATTCAATAATTTAACAAAAAAGTGAAACTACAGTTATAATACTCATTATTTTTACAAAGAAACATAAGACGTAAGTATTTACTATTATATTTTCAAATTGAAAATCTCTTATCCACTTTAGTGATATTTATTCGGTCTCTATTTTTTAATTTTTATTATATCAGTTTGAAAAAATATTGATAAATTTTTTCATGATATGTAATGAAGTTTTAAATATTATAGATTTCTGAATGCTTTAGATTTTTTGAAATATTGATGCAAAAGAGGATATCACTAACCTATTAATCTAATACTTTTTTTTTTTGATAACATTAATCTAATACCTTTACTGAGTCAAGAAATGGTTCAACTTTAATAATATTGTTCAAAAGTATTTTTTAAATACGGATCCAAATATAAAATAGTTCTCACTTGTTTTTAAAGTCCATCTAAAGGGAACTTAATCTAATTTATTTTTTAAAAATAATAATAGATATTGCTATCCATTTTTCTTCTTTTGAATTTTAAATTCAAAATTTTTAAATCTATTACAAATATATTCTCCTTAATTTTTATTTTCTTAATTTAATTTTTTATTTAGATTTAAAAATAGATTTATTATTTCTCTCATCACATGAAATAAAGTTATACTCGAAAATTATGTCATTTCGAGAGTTGAGAGAATTAATGAAATGTATTTTGATAAAATTAATATAATATAGACACAAATAAAATTTTAAAAATATCCTTTATTAATTCTTTTAATTTTTAAAATGACATAATTTTAGAGTTGTTGGTTGATAACTCTACGACTAAAGAAATATTTATTCTTATGCATGTAGGAAATTTTACTCTCATTTTTAAATGAAGAAAAAAAAACAAAAAAAACAAAATAAGAGTAGGAATTGAAACACATACCCCCTTCCTTTATTTCATTTGAGGGATCTAACATAGCAATTCTCAGAACAATAGAAAGAGAGAGAGAGAGAGAATGGAGGCCATCGACTCTGTGTTCGATCCCTTGAGAGAATTCAGCAAGGACAGCATCAGGCTCGTTAAGCGATGCCACAAACCCGATCGCAAAGGTTCATTCTTCATTCTTCCATTTTTTTTTTTAGGGTTTTTATTTCACTTTTTTTATTTATTTTTAATTTCAATCTTAATTTCTCCTATGCCTTTAGAATTCTCCAAGGTTGCTGTTCGTACTGCCATAGGCTTCGTCGTCATGGGATTCGTTGGTTTCTTCGTGAAGCTCATCTTCATTCCCATTAACAACATCATCGTTGGATCTGGTTAGGTTTGTTTCTTTTGTGCCCTGCCCCATTTCCTTACACTTTTTTGAATTTCGGATCCTCAACTCATGCTTATTGTATTGTCCTGTTTAAGTTTGAGATTAGTGTTTTCATTATTCAAGGAAACCAATTTTACAAATTAGGATCAAATTACTCTTCACAAACAAGGGAAAAATATTTGTGCATCTAAAGATTATAACTTTGTGTAATTTTGATTTTCGTCAATCAATGTTGATTTTCGTCAATGGTCATAATTTATTATGAATTACTAATTAATTAATAAATTTGAGTCAATAAATTATAACTTATGAAAACCAATGATTAGGATCTAAAATGACACAAAGTTGTATCATTCAAAAGGACAAAACGTTTTTTTCCCACAAATAATTAATTATTAGTTTCACTGATAGAAATTAAACAATAATTTCCCAAATTATTACAATGCTTGGCACAATGGTTAGTGTTGTCATCATGTAACTAAGAGGAACTAGGTTCTAGGTTCGATTTACGTAACCAGCCCTTCTCAAATGCAAGCTAAAAGCTAATGCTACCTACTATAGACCCTTTCCTCGATCTTTATTGTACCAGGTTGCCTTTATTATGATTCACTTCCATCATATGTATACTGCTGCTATTTTTCTAACAAAACATAGCTGAGATTGAAGTTTTATAACTTAAAAGTCATCAAATGAATCCCAATGGGTGGCACTGCTGGTAAGCAAGTTGTGCCCAAGGAGCAGACTCATGGGGCCGAAAGGTTTTTCGTCTGATTCCTAAGCAAAACAACTTGCGACAGTGGCAAAAATTTTCGTGCTCTATGCCACTAAGGGGATTAGTCTCATCCAAATAGGTGGGAACACATATGAGAAACCAAAAAAAAAAAAAAAAAACCATCAAATGACAATCTCAGCATGTAACTGGTATAGAGAGTATGCATAGTCAGAGATCACATACTAGTTACTGTATGGTTACATGTATAAGGGATAATCTGCAATCCTTAGGAGCCTGTGTAATGTCTAATTATTTCTGTGATGAGTGAATTTGCCACAGCAACTCTTGTTAGTGAATTGTTTATGGAGTTTAAACATTCTTTGCAAGCTTTTAATAATTGAGTAATTGCTGTTTTCCCTATCTTGTCAGTCGTAATGTGGGTTGTTTTTGAATAATTTTGACTAAAGGAACTTTTGTTGATGAAACTTCTTTTCTTTGTTATTGAATATTGACACGTTGGATTAGTGTTTAAATCGATCGAATGTTGAGATTGAACACTCATAATTTTATTTTTGATAAGATTTTGATTGGTTGATGTGGTGTATGCATGGGACCAAAGAGGCATTATGGCATAAACGTCAAAAGAAAAAAGTATGATGTGAACAAAGTGTGCAAAATGAATGATTGAGCTGATAACTCTTTGTTATCTCTGCAGGGTGAAGGGTTGTCAAGCAAAAGGAGGCAGGAAGAGATCCATTTTAATAGATATTTATCCTCTGAACATTTCACGCATTTCTTTGAAATTTGAAAATTTATTTCTCCATCTTGTTGACCTTGACATATTATTTTGATCTAGGATAAAGAAGAAAAATAGTTGAGGATTCGTGATTTTTTTCTTCAAGTCTTTGTTATATTTGCTTTCTGTTTTGTATAATATCAAGTCTGTGGTGCAACAGCCCAGTTGGCATTAGCCATTATATTGAATCTGAGGTTCAACAGAATGTAGTCGAAAGGAGATCAGTTGTATTCCCACATAGGGCCACACCACACCCATATAAAAACACCCAATTCCTGTGATTACAAAAACAACAACCGTGTCTTTTGCTATTTTTCGTTTGGAAGATTGTCTCAAACATCAATGTAGAGTAGCAGAATTGGGTGTTTTTATGAGTGTGAACTGAGAAGTTATGGTATTAATATGGCTCTTATAAGTCAATAAATTTATTTTGTAGGAGCCCACCGCGATTACTAAGGCCAACTAATTTTGTTTCTTTGTTTTTTTTTGGTACAAAGGCCAACTATTTGGACTTCAAACGAACACTTTTTCCATTTAATTTAGGGTGCTTTTGCTTAAACTTTGGAATAAGACCTTTTGTAATTTTTTTAAATTTATTTGATCAAGCTACTAATTTTTAGATTATTTACATTAAAGTAGCTCTATTTAGGCTTTTATCTTTTCTTAAAAAATTATCTAGTCATAAATATTTGAAACAACTTTTGGGTTATATAATGAAATTGTACGAGTTATTGGGCATTATTTGAAAATAGAAACCAATTTTTTTTATAAATAATTTGGATTTATGTTAGAAATATCTATCTTAGAGATTGTTTTTCATATGATAGTTGATGGGAAGATATCAAAAAAAATAAAAACTTTAATGCGGTGTTTATCTATCTCGAAAAAGGTATGATAAGGTTTCAAGAAAGGTTCTTTGGTGAGGAAGAAAAAAGTAATCATTAATGTAGGGCAATTAATTACGGGGAGAGTTATATTTACAAATTTTTTGTTTACAAACTCTTACTAACTACACTATGTTCTCCCGGGAGAACACTAAGTTACACAATGTTCTCCCGAGAGTACATAGTGTAATTTGCAAACATTTGTAAACAAAATTTGTAAATGAATCCTTCCATATTAATTATATGTATGAAAGTGTATTTTCCATTCAGAATAGGTTTACACCAAGGTACTATTTTAAGTCCTTATATTTTTGTCTTAGTTATGAACAGCGTTATTAAACTTGATTCGGGCATCGACCTGGTCGGGGTACTAGGTCACTGGTCGGACTGGTTGATCTGAATATATATAAATATATATAAATATATATAAATATGAACATATAAATTTAATTATATTCTCCATATCTAAAATGAGTTAAACAAGGTTCACTAAATAAGCTCAAAAACATGAACCACAAATAAATGAAAATGCACATTATTACTATGTCAATTTAAATTGCAACTCAGAATCCCTATAAATATAACTCTCAATGAAATTGAACTCATATTTTTTAAATTCATCTACATTGAAATAATATGTCACATTCTCTTAATTTATTATTCCGCAAATTGCTTCAGTATTGAAAGCTGAAATTTGAGGTCATTGTAGAAGAATATACTAGCAAATAAAATTACAATTTTTTTTAAAAATGAGATCCACATTTTTTTATGACAAGATGAAACAATTTTGTTTTTTTGTTTTTTAAAAAATGTATGACCTCTGGTCACCGATTTTGATTGGGTTTGCCTGAGTTTTGACCGAGTCCGATGCATGACTGGTCCAATGCTTGACCTGAATCGGTCCGATGATCGGTTCGTCGGGTTCCGGTATGACCCGGTTGGGTCGGGCCGAGTTTCATAACAGTGGTTATGGATGAGCTAACAAAAAATATCCTACATAAGGTGTCATGGTGTATGTTATTTGCAAAAGATATTGTGCTTTTTGAAAAGACTACGACTTGTGTTAACAATGGATTAGAATTAAGGGAAACACACTATAATCTAAAGGATTTACATAAGTCAGAATAAGATTGAGTATATGAAATGTGAGTTTGCTACTCTAAGAGAAGAAGTTCAAAGGTTGCACATGCTAGGACAATGGGTACCTAAGAGACATGCTTTAAGATATATGGGATCAATATTGCAAAATGGGGTTGATATTGGTGAGTATAACACCTCGTGTGCACCCAATGAATTATCATTAATTATGGCGTTAAACGCAGCTAGAATATTAATTAAATTAAAGTGAAATGGCTGGTAAAATTTTTCTTTATTAAAATAAATTGAATTCATACTCAAATGACAACAGCTTCCTTAATCATTAATCACATATTAGTTGGAAGTGTCCTACTACAACCCCCAAATAAATGGTTCACATAAGCCAAAAGGGGTAAAAGATAAGTTAAGAATGTGTTGTAGCACTTTTCAGTATGTTGTAGCTTGTGCTAATGTGTTGTAGCGCACTATAACACAAGTTTTTCCTCTGACCAACGTGTTGTAGCGCCCAGTAGCGTGCTATAGCGTGCTCATCAGATATTTTTCTTTGCATTTAGTGCGTTGTAGCGCTCTCTAGTGCACTCCAGTGAGCCATTTTGATTTTTCTAGTGCGCTCAACCCGAAATTTTTTCTTAGCGCGCTCCCAAGGAATTTAATAGTTCCTTTGGAGTCTTGAACTCCATTTCAAGAACCTAGACACCTCACAATTATCTTAACCAACTATTTCCATATTCTTCCATGACAATCAAATCTCAATATGCTCATTTCATCATGATCATTTTGGACATATGCTTATGTTGGGTTTTGTTATGTGTTTGATGGCTTGCTATGGACTATTTTGGCTTTTCTGTTTTGGATTATTATTTCTTGGACCTTGATTACGCTTGACGTTGTCATGTTGAACTTTAGACTATGTTGGATTCTTTTTTTTCTTTTTGATGTTATAACACCTCGCATTCCTAAAATATGTAATTATATATCAAATGTGGATTAAAGGGTAGGATTTGTAAAAATTCTGAAATTAGGGTTAAAATAAAAAGGAAGAATAAAATGGTAAATTGTCAAACACGTAATCCTAGAAAAGTAAAATTGAGTAGGAGGTCTCAAATGGGAATACTAACCCTAGAAATGGATTTAGAACGAAAAATTGAATGGCTAGGCAAGTTTCTGGAAATTTGGTGAATAGTGTTTTACCGGATAAAAATATCGCGGTATAGTTTCACCGTAAAGCGTGTCGAATAAATTTTGAGCTCTAAGTTTGGATATAAGTTATAAATGGTATATAGGACTAAGAAATATGAATTCTGGTAAAAATTGATAGAGATTAGAGTGTTTGGGAAAACGTGCCCGCAATGCGCATAACAGCTTAAAAGTGTGATTTCTCCGAACGAATGGAAAACTCCGGATTCATCTGATCAAGGACAATTAAAGGAAAATGGTTAATGTTAAAAATTAGAGTTCTAAATAGTTTATGAATTTATGGACGTTTAGTGGAATAGGCGAGAGATTTGAATTGATTCAAATCGCGTGAGGCAGCAGTGGGGCTCACCCCACTTAAGTTGTAACATGACATGTGGACCAAGACCACTATTCACTCATCCCTTTCCCTCTTCTCTCTCCAAAGCCGCTCCCTGGGAGGAGGAGCAAGTTTGCTCCAAATTTTTCTTTGCTCTAAACTCACTAAAATCTCCACCGAAATCCAACTTTCACTACATCAAACTTTAAGTAAAGGACCTTCCAAACACAACCATGATAGTTTTAACCCTTGAAACTCAGTGATTTGAGAGAAAATCCACACCCAAACCCGCGGCCATTTGAGGAATTTTGGAGTTCTTGGAGTTGATTGATCCTCCAATGCTTTAGTATGTTGTGGAGGTGCCCTAGGCCTAGCTTGTGAGTAAGTTTCAACACATTTTATTGGTTGAATCATGAATTTGTATTTTGTGACCTAGAGCTAAATTGCATGGATTGATGTAGTTAGAGAGCTCAAATTGAAATTGTGAATTAGATGAAAGTGACTTAGAATGATGTTTTTGAATGATTGAAGTCATAAAAATTATTGATGAATTATATGGTAACTTAGGCAATTTTGATGTTGATGATTCATGACTTTGTGAAATGACTTGGTTGTAGGATTGTGTAATTGAGTTGTGGAGTATTTGTATGAGTTAATAATAAGATTGTATGATGTGTGAAAGTGTTGAAATAAATCAAAAATCACTTGGTACCCTTGCATGAGGATTTCGGCCATTGTAGGGCATATAGGTTTTGATGATGCAAAAATTGTGTAATTGATGTTGTGTGATTGTGAATGATATTTAAATGAGTTGGATGTTAATTGCATGCATGAGGTTTGGGTAGAAATTGGGCATTGGATAGGCATAAGTGTAGAAATTGGCTTAAAAGAGGATAATTGGAAAAATGTTGTTGTGATGGAGTTGGATGGAAAATGATACTTGAAATGGTGTTGTGGTAGCCTTAGAATGCTAGTGGGAACTTGAAATAAAATTAAGAAAATGATTTGCTAAAATTGGGCCATATGGCCGAATCATAGTGCATGTGTGGGGGGTATTTTGGTGCTTTGTAATTCTGGTTAATTGCACCGTGTGTTGATGATCCTCGTGTGATCATTGTAGGTTCTCTCACACGGACGTAAATTCGGTGCTTGGAGCTTGGTGGTAGCTTTTGGTCCGTGGCCAAAGGGATTGTGGTAAGTTGTTATGAATATATGCATGTGTACTTTAATATGCATGTATATGTCTTGGTTGGTTATAATTGTAACGGAAATGGCCTATGTGTAGGCATTTCTTGAGGTACCAAGTTCGGTGACGTATTAAATTGGAGCTATCAAGTGAGGGAGATTTTATCAGGTAATCCCTTGGTACTGGGGTTTAGTCCTCGTGTGTGCTCCACCATGCCTCTTAGAGGTAGTAGTTGGAGGTGTATGTTGGTAGTATAGTAAACATGATCATGCATATTTGTATGTATAGTGGAACATAGGATGTACCGTGTCTATGGCCAGTAGACTGTTGTCTTCGGGCGTTACGGACTTCCACTGGATAGGTCTCCATGAGGGAGTTCTAGTTGACCTGGGGTCGTGGTGTGTCATCCGTAGAGGAGCACACTAGGAAGTCTCGGGTGTATATG